ACCGGGGTTCGAATCCCGGTAAGGGTGAAAATAGTATGTAAGCGAAATCGTAGGCGTAAGATAATAAATGTTAGGCGGTTTAGATATAAGTGTAAGGATTGAGCGTATACGGTGTGGTGGTAAAGGAACGTACGATAAAGTAGTTATAAGGCGTATAACCACGTAAAATGTAATGTTTAGGTATGGTTTAGGTATAGGTGATACACATACGCGAAAATAAATTTGATATTAGGGGTTATCGTATAAGAATTGCGAATGTTATATAGATTTAATTTATAAATATTCTTTCTTCTATGCAAATATTTAGTTGCTGGTTAGTTTTTTGACAAAGGCAGGGCAAAAGTGCAAGAAATGTCGATTTAGTTTTTTAGTCAACGGAGCATCTGGTTTAAATGATTCAAAAAACATTTTACATTTATTTACTGAAGGAAGAAGGGATTAAATTTTTGGGCAGGTCGAATAAAAAAAGTAAAATATTCTCTGTTAAAAATATTAAATATCGGTACGAAAAGTTCTAGCAATTTGCCTCAAGGCGCGCCATGCACCACTAGTTTAGTCTTATATTACAAGAACAAAAAGTTCAAAACCATCGGAATCGAAAGGTGAAAGTTTTTTAGGTAAATTTGATTATCAATCAACTTTATTTATACTAAAATAATTATTAGTTAGTGAAGTGGGTGGCATCGTGCCTTAAGGCAAATTGCTAAAATTTCGCGTACCGTAACAAAATGTTCGAGGAATACTGAATGTTTTCAAATAGATTATTATAAATATTGTAACATTGTCTAATATTTATAAGAATTATATAAACTGAATTGCAAAGTTGAAATTATTTGTAAAGTATATTAGAACTATAGTCAGAATTAAAATTAAATCTGAATTATTTTCGATATACAAAAAATTTAAAAAAAAAAAAAAGTTGAACAAATTTTTTTTTCCAATATCAATTATTTTATTAAGATAAGCAGAAAATTCTTTGAATCAATTAAATCGGACGCTTAGTTCTCTCAAAAACTGCCATTTTTTGTACATTTAGCTTCGTATCTTCAAAATGGCTGGGCCTGCCTATGCGAAAAACTATTAACCACTTCTCCCAATCATTACTAATTGAATGTTTTTTAGATCATTCAAATCGGATTCTCCGTTCTCTCAAAAACTCGATTTCTATTTTCTGCACTCTTTGCTCTTTAACTCTGTAACTGCTGGACCTGCCTTTGCCAAAACCTAATCAGCACATTTCCTTATCGATAGGAATCTAATGTTTTTTGAACCATTCAAATCGATTGATCCGTACGCCCGAAAACGTGAACGAAAAAAATGCAGACATACAAAACACACATCCATTTTTCTGAGGTATGCCAAAATGTTCAGAAACTTTCAAAACGTCGAAAAATGCAAAAATTTTCATTTTCGATTTTCGGCCCATCACTATAACTACCCTACGGGAAGTTGATTAAATTGAATTAAGCAATTTTGCAAGATACAAATTAAATAAATAGTTATTCCAACTCTGCTGATAAATATTTTTGAAAATATATCACATCAAGGTTAATTAAAGCGTTATCTCTGTAAAAAATGCACCCATTATATTTTGCATTGGCTAAATAATTTAGCTAGTATTTTGTAAAATTCCTTCAAAATCAAAATAAGATATTGGACCTGTTTGCTCTCTGACCTTCTCTAACTATCCCGCCTATGGAGCAAAAAGGACCAGGTTACAAATTTTTAAAAAACATCAACAAAAAACAAAATTTTTAATAAACAAAGCACATTTCTACAATTATTAATTCGTTGGGATTTTACTGAACATAGTCAGATACTTGTTGGATTGATATATATTATTTGTTGTGATATGGTTTAAAATAAAAATGATCGAAGTCAACCTACCTTATATAAGCTCACAAAATGCTGAGATTTTTTTATAAAATTCTTAATTTTTTTATTATAAAACAAAATTTGAAAATAACTGTAGTATGTTTCTTGCATTTGGTCTATGTAGTAGCACGTTACGTTCTCTAGACATAAAGCACCCCTTGTGTCGATTTACGATAACCTTTCAATGTATTTTATTCCAACGTCACATTGTGTCGCCCCAGTACATACATAACACAATTTTCACATTAAACATATGTCCATTATATGCACAGTATGGAAATAGTCCATTATACCTATGGTGGGCGCGTGTCTGTGAGAAACCGGCTTTCGATCTGGTTTAGGTATTTCATGTAAAATATTATGCGGACGTGTCGAACAGAACGTTTTTGAAAAGCTGAGTTATGCTAACATCACCAGAAGGCTCTATGGACATAGTGGGAAATATAAAAGGAGCAAAAACCGAAGGTGAGAATGTCGAACGCCTTTACAAAAGCCATGGGCTGACACAATAACATTTCGCTTGCTGAAACTTCGATATCTTCGGAGTGTGCGAATTTCAATTCCATGTCAACGGCAGATAGTGTGCGAAACTGAATACTTTTTCAAGTAACATATTGAATGTGACGATTATATAGAAATAGTAAAGAAATAATACTAAACTATTTTATATAAAGATATGATAGTTTAGAGTTATCATTTAAATCCAAAATATAAATTTTCGTAACTTACTGATTTTTATAACATTCTTTTCTAATAATATCGTTAATGAAGGGTGCTGACTCAATGTAATGATGGAAACATGTTCAAACAAACATACTTCATCTTTCTCTCTTTGAACCATATCTCATAAACAGTATGGTTTAGCTGTTATGAAGACTGTCACTACCGCAACCTGGCCCAATCTTATCCATTCTCCTGTATTTAAAACTTTTGTTAGCTGCTAATAAAAGTTGGTCACAATATTGTAAAACATTTCTCTAATTTTTGTTTCAAGTCTATTTATTTTTAGTTTTTGTTTAATTAATTGAACGCATTCAATTTTCTTTTGGCAAATGATTACAATGCAAGTTACAAATACACACTGTAGCTTCTGAAAGTATCTTATTGCAGAAGCTATAAAATTATATTTTTATTAAACTTCTCGAAAGATGAGTTCCCAAAGAAAAATGTTTTTTTTTTACATCTGTACGTTGCAAAGGTTTCTGAACAATATGGCATACCTTAGACAAAAATGAATGTGTGTGTATGCATGTATTTTTGTAGTGAGTATGTATGTGCGGATACAATTTTTGCCGACGTTTTTGAGAACATGGATCAACCGATTTGAATAATTCGGAAAATATTCGATCACTATTCACTATTAATTGAAAGTAATTAATCAATTTTCAATTTATAGCTAACTTTGTTATATGTATGTTCATGTTCATATACGAGTATATGTGTTTGACTAAAATTGCACATTAAATCCATGTGGGCTGTTCTATAATATTTATTCATCATGAAATCAAGATAATAATTTGAGTTTCAAATATCACCAATTAAATAACGATTTTGCTGCAAAATTAATCTTTGATTCCATGATGAATATGATTTAATTAGAGGTTAAGTGGTTAATAAATATTCTTATGTGTCATAATATTTGAGTTTACGAATACTATCACAGATGGTCCAAGAATTTTCTTAATGACTTATGTTAATAACAAATATAAGAAACTTTTAATTGGAGTGCGCTCTATCTAAATGTTAATATTAAGAGCTGAAACTATTTGAGATTCATTTTTTATTAATTTGAAAGCATTTGCGACCTTTGGGAGCAAATAAATTTGAAAATGTTCTTATATATACATATATATATATATATAGACACATTTATAAGCTTGAAGATGACGAACATGAACAACTATCTGAGTAGTAATTATAATTTTCAATCTATATTAATTGAATGGTATTTGAATATTCAAAATTACTTTGCTTCTAAGTGAATGCCTTGAAATAATGATTTCTCAATAACAATTGTAAATGAATCTTCATAAAAAACTATTTAGTACAATTTGCAATAAAATATATTTATAAAGTTTATGTTATTTAAAATCGGCTCCAAGTTTTTCGATACTACTTGGTCAAATCATTGTTTCTTCAAGTAAAAATAATTATTATTGTATTGATGATTATTATTATATTGATCATTGATGGTTTCGATGTCGAAGTTTTTATCATTAGCTATTTTATAATTATATCCATATTAAAATAATTCAAATTAGATTTTTGTTACCATTGTTGATAAGATATGTATGTAGGTACAAGTAACTGGTGGTCCATATAGTGGTTCTATAGGTTCTAGTGATATTACTGTTTAGATATTTCTGTAAAAAAAATATATAAAGTATTATACATCGTTAGAAAGGTATCAAAATTCTTAGTATTTTTCCCATATATCGCAACTTCGAATTCCGAACGGTGTGTTGCTATCGTAAAATTTCAGGAAAATCGTTTTTTTTCGTTTTTTTCGTATCTTTTACGGTTTAGATAGTATAGAGCAATATGTGTACATGTTAACTTGTCAAAATGCAAAGTGCGGTTAGGTTAGAGCAACACTCCTCACGATTCGATATTTCTGTAAAGAAAACATATAAAGTATTATACATCGTTAGAAAGGTCTCAAAATTCTTAGTTTTTTTCCCATATATCGCAACTTCGAATTCCGAGCGGTGTGGCTTACAGGCAAGTTGCTATCGATAAATTCCAATATTTAAATGGGTTACATAAAGAAAATTCGATGATTTTATTATCTCTATGTTTTCTACTCTAAAGGCTTGTAATTGTAAATAAATTGTACTAAGACTATTTCTTGTACTAAGACTAATTTCTTGTATAATTCAGATATAAAATGTCATAAGAAGTAAATCTGGCAGTTGATGTAAATTAGCAAGGCTACATAACTTAAATATGCTGTATAGATATCCTTATTCTCAATCCCTTAATTTTAATCAATTTCTTGTAAGACAACAAATAACGTGTAATAACTTTTTTAAAATCTTTGATAACTACGGTTTTTATTTTTTATTTATTTATGGATTAATTTAATAATAATAAGATTTCCTCAATGCTTAATTCATTTATTCTAGGGTCATGACACGACGACTTCAGGTATCTGTTGGACATTGCACGTATTAGGATTACATCCTGATGTACAGGTAATAATGCAAATATCCTGGTAAACTGCACTGGTTTAATAGCAATAGGATAATGACTTATATTGGTATAATTATTTTCCTACAGAAAAAAGTTCATGAAGAACTGGACGAAGTTCTCGGTCCCGTGACTGATGAACTGATCACCACTCGAGAGTTGTCCCAACTGCGATACTTGGAAATGGTCATAAAGGAAAGCATGCGTCTGTATCCCCCAGTGCCTGGAATTAGCAGAGAGATTACTGAAGATGTTAAAGTTGGTAAGTGAAATTTATTTATTTGCTCTGGGGTTTCTTTGTTTACATGCTGAGGGAGTTGATTTATACCTTCAATATATCACTATTTTGTTGATTTTATATTCTATTATATGATTTTTTTTTTACTTTTTTATATTATAAAACTACGAACGTTTCGGAGATTTTTTTTGAAAAATTTCTTCACAAAAATTGGTTCATTATAACTCAATATTTACTTTCAATATCCAACACTGTCCTCAACTATTCAAGATGAATATCACAATACTGATTTTATTTTTCAACATGTGAAGACCTGCAACATTATGTAGGTTTCGTTGTCCTTTACTAAATGAAAAACGTTTTTCATACACGATTGATCCGGAATTTTTCACCGATTTATATTTGAATTTGAATCTAAATAAGAACTCTTTTTAAAAGTAATATTTTGGTTAGGTTTTTTATCATATATATATTGTTAACCAACTGTTAATTACTATAGTCTTCATTAATAACAACCGAGCTAATTGATCAATATAAAATATCCATGCTTTAATATAAATAAAAAATGACTCTACTCTGTTTTATATAATAAATACATGCAACCTTAATTTATATTAAACTTATGGTAACGTTATATTATAATATAATAGCTAATATTATGATATATTACAATATAATAATAATGACAATATACGCCCTACAATATATATTTTGTCAATATATATATATATTCTTTATTTACATTTGTGAATTACAATATGTCGTTTTTATACAACATTCATTAATTTTGATGGTTTAATAAATAAAGGAAAAATGTCGAAAGGTCACCTATTGGTGCCCGATTCGATGTTGGATATGTTTAGCTTATAGATGTAGTCCTGTTGTGAAAATATTTAATTGAGACTACAAGTTATTGTACTTATTATAGGATTTCTAAAGAATGTCAAAAAGGGGCCGTTTTCTTCTGAGCCGTTCAATGCCATGGTTTTTATTAAGTTTTTGGCCATGATGTTAGGGTGGTTCTGTATTTTATCCTTGTATCTCAGACAGAACTTTTCAATTTTTTCCTTAACAGTGTTAATGCTCAAATCTGTGTGAACCAACCAATTTGGGACATACTTGGGTGCGTTTATAATTTCTTCCAAAATCTTGTTTTGAAATCTTTGTATTATGGCGATGTTGGATTTGCGTCCCGTTCCCCAAAGCTATATTCCGTTTGCTAATATATATATTTTGAAACATTGTCGTAATATAATGGTTAAAACTTGAAATTTAAAATAATAATTAAATATGTATGATTACTTAATTATACCAGTTTTGACACTCGATGTTTATCATCATTTAGCCAATATAATACAAAAGTTGAATACAGTAACACATAATAAGACTTGAATAAAAAGGGTAAGAGGATTAGAAACAATTTGGTTTTACGATTTGTAACAAATTTCCTAGATCTACTTCTATTAATCATAGTCAAGATGTATTATCTAGTGTTGCAATTAATTTTTTTTACAAATACTTTAGCTAAAAGCTCACATCTATTATCGAAACTAGTACATTTGAATTTGAAATATTTTTTATTTCCAAAAGCAATTGTTTTGTCAAAACAAGCGGAAAGTTTTTTGAATTATTCAAGTCAGATGCTTCGTTCTCTCAAAAACTGCCATTTTTTGCACATTTAGCTTGGTATCTCTGAAACGGCTGGACCTGCCTTTGCCAAAATCTAATCACCACTTCTCCTCGTCACTACGAATTGAATGTTTTTAGATAATTCACATCGGATGCTCTGTTCTCTCAAAAATTCGTTTTTTATTTTCTGCACTCTTTGCTCCGTATCTACGAAACGACTGGACCTGTCTGTGCCTAATCAGCACATCTCCCTATCTATAGGAATCGAACCGATTGAACCATTCAAATCGGCTGATCCGTGGGCCCGAAAACGTGGACGAAAAATTGTATCCAAACATACATATACACACATTCATACACACACATCCATTATTTCTGAGGTACGCCAGAATTTTCAGAAACCTTTAAAACGTGAAGAAATGTAAAAATTTTCAATTTCGATTTTTGGACGATTACAATAACTTACCCTACGGGAAGTTAATAAACAGTGTTTCATAACTGAAATAGATGTATTCTTGTAATCGTTGAGTAAAACATTTCATCTAATCTAATTTCATCTAAATTTGGGAATAAATGAAAGTCTTGAATCTTATAGAATATATAATCGTAAATAATTCTTAACTTTTATGATTTATAATAAAACCATAAAAATGTCTCATATTTGGGGTTTTTAAAACTAATTTTTTACGTATCAGCCATTTTCATTACAATTTTAATCTAAATTGAAACCTAGTGGTGTATGGCATCGTGCCTTACGGTAAATTGCTATTACTTCCCGTTCCGTAATGTTATCAAATATATTATTATAAAATCTGTAACTTTTTTTATTCATATTTTATAGACAAAATAGAAGGAAGGAAGATTGTCTCATTAATAGGAATCGAATGGTTTTTGATTAATTCAAATCGGTTGACCGGTGCTCTCGAAAACATCGACTAAATATTGTATCCATACATTATATACGTACTACATACAACCATGTACATGCACATCTATTTTTTTAGGTATGCCAAATTGTTCGGAAACCTCCAAATCGTTAAGATAAGCAAAAAAAATTATTTTGGATTTTTGGTCGATTACTATCCTACGATTGCCCTACAGGAAGTTAATAAATATAAACTAAATGCATTTATAATTTGTATAGCTTCATTAAATTTGATTCTAGTATATAACAATGAGAACCTCATCGAATTGGAACCGTAAAATCAGGTAAAGTGATTGATAAAACCAATTTCCATCGTCACTCTGTTAAAATTGTTTGTGTAACTTAGATTAAATAAATTCGTTACGTGCGGTGACTTTATGAGATTCAGAAATTACAATCTACCTGCGCGCATATCACCTTTGGAAATTAGTGGTGCTCCGGGCCGTGATCTCGACAATCAAGCTATGCAAATGTGCGAAATTGCGACGGCGGCGCTTTCATTACACACCTAATTGTTGAAGGGATGATAAATCCACACTTTGTTAACAGACAAACAAGAAAACAAACATGCTGGATGTATGTTTACAGAATTTTAAGAGGGAACTCGTTATGGAAATGGATTATATTTTTATATTACTTTTGCGTTGATCAAACGAAAATAATTTTTATGTTACGCTTTGGTACGATACACGATTTTTTTGGAAATTGTAGTTGTAGTTTTTTTGTAATTTGTAGAATTAATTCTCTTTGGATTTAATTAGTTGATAATTTCTCAAAAGTAAATCTAAAGTGCACTACGAATTACATTATTTACAGTTAATTACATATTAAGTTTAGATGGGTTCCATTAGAAATGAGTTAGTGGGTATTAATCAGAATTCAGAGTTATAATTGAGATTTACTGCAGAATAGTCAAAAAGATTATATTATTTTCTTTTTGTCATGATTACATTAAACTGCTGCATCATTGGACTTGTAGTTTTCGGATTTCTTCTGCTTTATGAAGTATACAATAAAACATTGTCTGTATTATTAAAAAATTAACAAAAATCTTAATTTATTATTAAACGATTTTTCAATTATACAAATCGGTTATTCCATACTGTCGAAAATGTCGAGAAACCATATAAATAAACTTCAAAATTAAAAATCTTGGTACGGAACCTAAAAAAAAAATGCACAAATGTGTACACAATATTACAATCTCTATAAAATATCTGAAAAATTAAACGATATGTTCATTTCGTCAATACAAGTACAATGTTTTTTGAATTATTAAAATCGGACGCTCCGTTTTCTTAAAAACTGAGTTATCATTTTTGGCACTTTTCGCCCCGTATCTTTGGAACGGCTAGACGCCCCGTATCTTTGGAACGCCAAAACCTAATCAGCACGTCTCCTTATCAATACGAATAGAATGTTTTTTTAATTATTCAAATCGGTTGATCGGTGTTCCCAAAATCGTCGACGAAAATTTGTATCCGCACACACACACGCATGCACACACGCACACGCACGCACACGCACGCACACATGCACACACCGAAATGCCAAAATATTCAGAAGCCTTTGAAACGTAAAGATATGTAAAAATTTTCATTTTCGATTTTTTTGAGATTACTATAGCTAGCTATACGGGAAGTTAATAACTTGCCTATTATAATGCTTGATATTCTATGATAAACAGAATATATAAATACAAAAAATAATTAATATAATAATAAAGTTAAAATTAATTAAAAGCTTCTCAAATTATTCACTTTTATTCTTGATTTCTCTCAGGGAATCCATTACCTCAAATATAAGCTGCTTGTGAACTTTAATACATTGTTGCTGTTATGAAAGATGTTTTAAATTATTCACCACGCTTCGAGCTGTTCAAACAAAATCGATTGGGCGGAATGAAGTAATGTATTTGAATTCTGAATTAAAAAGTTCAGGACTCCTTTATTTAATAAAATTGAATGCATTCCAAGCCAAGGCAAAGACTAAGGATGTTTTAATAATGCATATCCATGGCTTCTGAAAATCCTACTCGCGATACGAAAAGAGACGTGTCTTATTAACCTCCAGAAGGAGATGTTTATGTTTTTATCGAAAATTGCTAATTTTATGTTTTTTCGACGTTTCAAGACATTCTGAATCGAATGAGACCAAATTTGGAAGAACTATATGTGTGTGTGCGTATGTGAACAGATTTTTTTTCGTAAATTGACGTTTTCTCAAAAACGACTGGACCGATTTCAAGCTATTAGATGTATCTCGATGAAGACTATTGTTTCTCAGTTTTGTGCGAAGATCGGCCAAGCCGTTTCTTTGTGAATAGTAGAAAACTAAAAATAATTGTCCACATTTTAGCCCGCAATTCTGAATCGATTTTAAAATTCAAAAACTGTTCGAAAGATATTGGTTCGGAAAGATACTGATTAGTTTTTTTCCACGATTTTTACGATTTTTTTTTTGACTGTAG